TTAAATTTTAGAAGAGTCATTATTCCTATCCTGTTGTATGGTTGTATGTAAACTGCATGAAGAGAAATAGATGAGTCATTCCCTAGGTTCCTTATCTTATCGGGATCAACAAAATTAGGTTATGATTGGTTTTTGTTCTCCGCTAACCTATTTGAGTGAGATGAGGTGGCAGTCCTAATATCTAAATGTGTGAAGAGGGAGACTAATAACTCAAGCATTATTTTTCAATAAAGAAAGAAAGACCGAATTTGCAGTATAAAATGATGTTGTCATTCTGTTTCACAGGTTAACATCAGTTGCACATCACTACCTCAAACAACAATCGTTATAAATAATGACAATAACACACTTCAATGTTTGAATGGTAGTAGACAAAACATTACAAAACTAACGCATCCAAAACAAAAGTATTACAACGTTTAGTTTAAGTTAACATCAGTTTACAAGTTTCCCAAAGGAGAGGGGGGAAGGAGAAGACAGAAAAATCTAATAGACAGTGTTGGCTTGCAGTGTTCGCATAGCAACTCAAGATCCACCCAAACATTAAATTCACCATGGAATATGATAACAACGACGAGTTTAATTTCCTAGACCTTAATGTAAGAAGGAAAAACGATGGTATGGTCAAAAGTCCATCCACAGGAACGAAGGGCGGACAGGACATCTTCACTTCTCTTTTCGAAGTGCAATTAGCAGACATCTTGTGTATCCAGATGATTGCGTCACGATATACAAATCCTTCAAAATATTTAACATACTAAGGACAGCAAATTTACTACGATTTGTTCAAGCAACTGCAATCAAATGTCTCAAACCAAACTTATGCATACAAACAGAGAGTGTAATCAATCTCCCACAGCCTTCGTAACTGTATCATGATTACATTGATTAGTCCTTCATATTAGTGATAGTTGATCGCTGAGAAAGTTTTCAATCTTATGAACTATAACCTTCTTTGGGTGTTATATGAACTTACAAGCTAAAACTGTCTATCAGATTTTTCTGTCTTCTCCTGCCCCCCTCTCCTTTGGGAAACTTGTAAACTGATGTTAACTTAAACTAAACGTTGTAATACTTTTGTTTTGGATGCGTTAGTTTTGTAATGTTTTGTCTACTACCATTCAAATATTGGAGTATGTTATTGTCATTATTTATAACCATTGTTGTTTGAGGTAGTGATGTGCAACTGATGTTAACCTGTGAAACAGAATGACAACATCATTTTATACTGCAAATTCGGTCTTTCTCCCTTTATCAAAATTTGTCAAGGGAACCAAATATATGAAGCGTTGTGTTTTCGAATCATCTGAGAATATCTCCAATGCGAATGATTCATCATGTTTCCGGGACATATGAAAAATTCTACCACCCTCACAGCAAGTGGGATGAAAGGAAAAGAACTACGAAAATGAAGTTTCCAGGCCGTGTAGTTACAACTGGTATGATTATTTTATTATTTATTATTATTGTTCCCTTGGGTTCCTAGTGGAACATAGGGCTTCAACTGCACGCCTCCACTTGTTTCTGTCTTCTGCTGTACTTTTCACCTGCATCCATGTTAGTCCATACTGTTTCAGCCCCTCTTCACACGATCTCCTCCATGTCAACATTGGACGTCCCACTCGCCGCTTCCCTTTCGGGTTACACTCGAGCTATGGCCTGACGCGCGATGTCACCCAACGGCCTCCTCAGCGAGTGTCCAACCCATCTCCACTTTCTCCTGCATATTTGTTGGGCGATTGGTTCTTGTTTCGTTTGTTCCCATAGCTTCTTGTTTGTGATTCTCTCCGGCCATCTAATCTTCAGTATAGAACGAAGACAGTTGTTGATAAAGGTCTGCAACAGGCTGTTGGAAATATTCTTTGTGACACGCCAAGTTTCTGATCCGTATAGAAGAACTGACTGACTTGACGTTTGTATTGAAAATCCGAGTTTTGTTGTTGATGCTGAGTGACGAAGATTTCCAGATTGGTTTCAGGTTGATGAATGTGTTTCTCGCCTTCCCGATTCTCAATTTGACATCCTCGTCCATTCCTCCTGTAGTTGAGACAATGCTCCCTAGACAAGTGAAAGAAGTAACCTCTTCCAAATCTCTCCCGTTGATGGTGATTGGCACTGGATGTTGCTGCTGTTGTTGTTGTTGGTTGGTTATTTTCATAACCTCCGTCTTGTCTATGTTCACCTGGAGTCCTGTCTTTGCTGCTTCTTCGACCAGTTTGTCGGATTTCGCTTGTAAGTCTTCGATTTTGTGTGACATCAAACCTAAATCATCCGCGAAATCCAGATCTTCTAGGTTCTTCACGTCTGTCCAGGATATCCCTGTCTTCTCGTTTCCCACTGTCTGATGCATAATCCAGTCCACCACTGGTAATTGTGTTTGAAGCTTCTTTATCCAGTGAATAATGCAGTTTCTTACAATCATGGTGCCCAAGTCTAATTTATTTTCAGTTTTCCAATTTTCCTGTAAATTGGTTTAACAAATCAATGTGTGTTATTAAACCTCTAATAACGCTAAAGAAAGGTATAGATATATAAATAAATATAAAATATTCAAACAAAATTATTCTGTTATGGAAGGAATTACATACACTCAACTAGAGTGACTATGTCTGTTATTTCATACCGCCTCGTCGATTCATACATCGGTCAATAGGTAAAATCAAGTTGTGTGTATGTTCAAAGTAAATCCCTTGGTACCCCCAGTGTTTCTCTCAACCTACCAAAATCTGGTTAACTTGATTAGTGAGCTTCAGCTAACAACTAGGACTTGTCACGTTTAGTGAACGTCATTAGCTAAAGCAAATCTTTAGCTCATGTTTGAGTGAGGACCGATATCAGTAAGAGAACTTCTAAAAACTAGGGAATGCTGTGTAACCGTTTCTTGCGGGCTTAGGAATCTTCAGCAGTACGTACTTATGACCCCATCAGCAAGTATTTGTCCTCACACACCAGATCTATTTCCAAATGATCAAGCTTGGAACCAAGCAGATCCCTACAAACTAACTCTCGAAAATTAACCTGATACTCCCCAGTGACTGGCTACAGGATGAAGGTGTCTGTAATTCTAGTGAGAAGTTGTAACTAATGGGGTCCGAAAAACTCGGTGTCAGGACAGGTACTCTGCGATAACATTTTCTGGCGGTAGCGCAAAATTCGCGAACCGACATGATTGGTGGGTCATTGCATTCTGTTCGCACGACTGAATATTCAGTGAGATCGCTTCTAGGTACTAGGTTCGATCTCTGTCGGGTTCGTCCCGTTGAAGAGTCACAAGCAAGAATGCAACAGCTTTCCAGTACTCACTGGTTTTCCATGGTTATGTTGTCAAACCTGAAACAAATCAAATCCCTGTGAACTGACACTTAAAAATATTCATCTACTGCAACATTAATAGTACTGCAATCATTTAATATCTAAATTTATCCCATTTTACTTGATTTATTTTATTTATATCTTACAAGTTAGTAACACTGTGGAACATGTTATTGATTTCATAGAAAAGAGTTTCGAACTGTGGTGCTTTGTTTTTTTTTGTATCAGCTGTCAATAATCAGTTCACTTACAGCAGTAAATGAACAAATGAAATTCCTGGAAATCGATCCTAGGGAATTAATCTAGTGCTCACTAACGACCAACTACAGGATGAAGATGCCTGGCAAGTTGTGACCAAATGGATCTACTAAGTCAGGTAGAAGAACAAATACTTGTCGATAACATTAGCTTGTGGTAGCGCGAATAGGCAGAAGTTAGAATTCATGGGCTGAACATTTGGCTCCGTCCCAGTGGCTGAATGGTCAACGAGCTCACCTAGTAGCCTGAAGATCTTAAGTTCGGTGTCTGGTAAATAGAGTCATTGGTACGTACTGATGAAGAGTCACAAACAAGGACGAAACACTTGTCCTATTTTCCATGCTGGTTCTGAATGGTTCCTTAACTGAAATCAATTCGTGGTCAGAACTGACACTTGGCAATGCCTTATTCAAACTTAATACAGTGAGCTAATTTTACCATCAATTACCTAAAACCAATTAATAATATTGACGTTCGCTTGATTATGAATTTCACAAGCATACACACACAGTTGAGTGGATAAATAATAATAGGGTGATGTTTACCTGACTATATTCATACATACATACATATGAACAACAGATAAAAAAAATGGACTGATCAGTCGATCGATCGATCGATCGATAGACTAACGAACAGTCATTTAAATTTAACCAATAGTAATTCAGAAAATATAAGGTTTTATTTAGCACAGATGACAAATACAAATTTATAATAATAATAAATAAATAAACAAGCAACAATAACAGAAACAGTCATGTGACAAATTGCTTCAGTTGTGTGTTTTTTCCGCAACACAGAGATACAATATTTTTTTCAAAATGAAATAAGCTTGTGAAGTTTCTAATATAATATAAATAAAGATGAAAGAAAATAAAGCTCATTACTCGTTCATTTGTGTTGTATACTATATTTGTTCTTAGTGTGCATCAGTTTCAGTATTAAATATATAGACACAGAGGTCTTATCACTTCGGTTTCCAATGTTAATGGGTAAATTTAATAATGGAGATACCATTGAACAGTATGCACCTGCATAAATATGAAATGATATACGCCAATTACATGTAGAATAAAGCAAAACAAGCAAGCAAACATTGTCTCATATCCGCGCTCACACACATAAACACTCTCCCTCCCTATCTTTTAAACACACACTTCAATGCACATATGCACACACTCTCACACTGACACATACAGACGCACACTCACACGTTCATATGTAATTGAAAAAGACATGAAACACTGACACTTCATTTATTTTGACATTGTCACAACTGTGATAGCCAGGAGTAAACAATAAAACCAAAAGATAATACTAATAATAATAGTAATAAAAACAACAAAAGTGAAAATATATATAGAACAATATAACCACCTTATTATCATTATTACATTGATTCTAATCACAGATAGTCATTGGATTTAGAAATGGGTGTAAAAAAACTTGCCCTAATCATCTGTCTTCCGTTGTTGGCATTTTTCATAATACTAGCCATTGTAATATGCTGTTGTTTACGCTCACGACGACGTAATGGTAAGTCATCTGAATACGTGACTGTTATTATTATTATTATTATTAACATTATTACTCACTCCTTGTATTATTCATAGAGGCATCTACTTCATGTAGTTTAGTGAATAAACTTTTCGCGGCGAATTCATTTTCCGCTTCAGCTGTGAAATAATAACACTGACATACAATTTTTCACTCATGAGAGAGACAGAGAAAGAGAGCGTAGTAACAAAAGTGATGAAGAGTTGCCCTAATCATAATTGTTAGTACTAGTCAATGCATAAATGGAGTTTAAAAAAGGAGGTATTCGAGTTATGCATTATGACGAATAATTTAATGAATGAGTTGTAATCAGGACGCACGCACACACACACACACACACAGAAAAGAAGCAAAATATGAAATTACTTGAGAGGTCGAGAGTAATACAATAGTTGTAAAGAGTTTAAAACATACAAAAATCAAGTTGATGCAAAGCCAACGACAAGATTGTTACCATGATACCAGAAGTGGTTGGATACTTTCCTTTTGCATGCACAGGTTGGCTTTCTCTGTCTGAATGGCTAGAGATTCACTAATGCAGAGGAAACCAAAGCTGATTATGTTTGTCAGGTTGTTTTTCACTTTGTAGATTACTCTGAAAGATGAGATTGTTGAGGTGGAATGACTAGTGTTGAAAAGGTGCTCATTTGTCGTACTCCTTATAAAAAGCCACTGCTACCATTCTGCAACCATGTGGGTTAGTGTTTTTAAACCCCTTTAGACAGAATCCGCGTAAAACGACGAATGTATCTGGCTCCACTGAACTGATTTATGCATACTGAAGTGGTCAGATGCGAAATCTTTTCTTTTAGGTTTCTAGAGACTAGTGGCCGCCTGAAGAACACTAATCTTAACGTTGTCGCGAAGAATGTTCTTCTGAAAGATAAGGAAATTCTCTTAAGGATATTGCAGGTTAAATCTCCTTTGAAATCCAGGTTCGTGTAAAGTATCATTTTTAGTATAAGTAATGTTTCCTTCCTGTGAAATTTTGGTTTGATATCCTTGTCACTGAATCTAAGAGGGCATACATTTTGAATGTAGACTTCTTCAAGAAGTTCTAATTCTTCGTCTAGAGCGTTAGAACCGCAGATGCATAGGATGCAAGTGGCAAGGGATTTAATTAAATTTCGTTTTTACTCAATAGGCATCTAAGTGCAGAAACTTGTCAGTTTTCATTTCCATGTGGCTTTCCCATTGTTAAACCTTCTTGAAGTTCCGTTGAGTCTTCTTGTTAGTTCCACATCAAGACAAGAAATTGACAAGAAAGACAACCTCTTCACTGAACTATTTGTTTCGTTCTTTGTATTAATGCCTGGTTGGGAATTATTCATGTATCGACTTCAAAGAGCCAGGTTTCGATATGGTTACTGATGTATAAAATTAGTTGATAGAGTAAATTTTCATCTAGATTTAACTGCCACCTACCTGTAAAAGAAGCATTTTGAAGTTATTGGTAGATTGATTTTAAAATAGCAGCTGCTTTCGTGATGAGAGTCACTGAGATAACTAGGGAGGCGTAGATTTCTCAGAATTTTGCTAACTGGTACTGCTTGAGTTATATCTGAGGATATTTTATACACATGACGATAGCTGTACGTTAAAAATTCTTGAAAGTTGTCTAACAGAAGTTGGCAGATTTTCAGCCTTCGGGCCGGCTTAATCAGAACCTGCTTCCTAATTTATTAAAGCAAATTTCCAGTTACACTCCTTAAAGCACAATGATATTGGTATGTGTATGTTTCAGATTCATATTTTGCAAATTAGTTAGTAATTTTCACAGTTCGAGGTAAAATTTCACCGGAATTATTCAGATCACACAAAATGTGATTTCAAACTGAGGCAAAATTTCACCACGAGTTGTGAAAATTGAAAATTATGGGTTAAGTTGAGTATCACCGGTTCGCCCAAGTGGTTAGCTAGAAGTTTGGTGGTTTGAAATGATTCGGCTCTCCGAACTCAGCCAAACAGGGTACACCACTGATGAGCTTGATCCCAAATGACCGAAACTGCCGTCGGGTGTTGAGACCACTGCCATCTGACTGGCAAGCACAACTGGTTGATTTGATAGGTAGTTAACTATTCATCTAAGTCAATGAATAGTATGCAACATCAGATATCCTAATTGTTTCCTTTTATTTTAAATACTCGAGGATTAGCATAAGGGGAACTTAATTCTCAGTCTCTACTCTATGTGAATTATTTTTAGAAAGCTTACTTTCATTTCTACAGAGTAGTAGTAACAGTATCATTTGAGGACATTTAAACATCCTTTTAAATTCTAATTTTACTCAAGGTTTACGTTTGAGTAAATAAAATAGACAATAATGATATAAAAGAATCATGATCACTAACTGACATGTTGTTATATATTCGAACTCTATTACGGGACACCATCACACGAAGATTCATCCAATTCTGATGAAATAGTAAACAGTGAAGATTCCACTATTAATGACTACCAAACATTTCAACTTTGAAAACCTTATTGCTTTATACTTCAGTTACCTATTCTGAGAATTATGAATGGCATCGCTTATGAGTAAGTTAAGTGGCGCATTACACAGGGTAGCTTTGATACACATAACTATTGTTATTTTTAAAAATAGATTGATAAATTTGTATTCAAACATATGCCTTTTAGGGTAGTTTACCTGCGTTTCCTTTTGTTGTGTTATTGAATACAATTATTGATTCACTGTGTTAGTGTACTATTCACATTTGAAACTATTGATTTAAATAATTTATTGGTTTTCCAAGTATTGCCGGTTGCTATGCCTTATTACTATTCCTATTTATTGTTATTATGCTTTAATTTGGGTAGGTACAGTGTTCCTATATCAGTTTCCCTCTTTCTCTTTCTCTCCCCTGCTTCTTTTCTAATCATTTCTTTATCAGATTTCATGTCAGCAGGTTACGATACTTAATGGAGAATTCCTTAAATGATTAAAGATGCTCATTAAAAAAATTTAGAAGACTGAGATTGTTGAATAAAGAATACTTTTGAGTCATTAATCCTTCCCCATCAGTTTCCACAGTTAATGCATAAAGAATTATTGTTATTAACAACACTAGTGTTATTTTAAATAACCTTGAATCAATAAATTTGATGGAAGACAATCTCAAAACATCTGTGTATCATAATATGTCTCAATTAAGAATAATAATACAGAATTTATGAATTTGTAGGTTCTACGACATGCTAGGGTAACAGTATTGACTTGATCTGTTTCACATGCACGCACAGCACCGGTTGTTTCAAGCCAATTGCAATAGCCTCTGGTGTTTGGACTGTTCGATATTCAAAGACCTTCGGAAAGATTTGCCAGTGTGACCAAATAAAGCTGTAGTTAAAATCCTCAACAATTCGATATTAGACCACCTTGTACGGACAGGTCATCTTTTTCTATCGTCTATCGAATAACAAATAAATTGGCAAAAGCCACCCTAGATACAGAACATTCCAAACTTTAGAGTCTATTGCAGCTCGCTTAGAACAACTGGAGCTTTGTGTGCAAAAGAAACAGGTCAAGTCAGTATTGTTACCGTGGCCTGCTATTTGCGTATACATTATTATTTAGAATTGTAGTCAGTTAATATTATTGATTCAATGTTATTGGTAATGTTTTATGTTCACTAATCTCAGTCTTTCAAAATTCTTCAAAAGCTTTTGAAAATTCCCATAATTTATTTTGTTCTGAAGAATTTGTTTTTTTTTTTAAATATTAAATTCCTTTATATCTAAAAGTGGTTTAGATGATAAATATTATTTAGGTCCATGAGGTGAAGCGGTTGTATAACAGTTGAATAAACATCAGTTAACTTCGAAGTATACTGTCTCCTCTTTCTTTTTTATTTGTCTACTGTGCACATCACCAAGCCTAATATGTGTTGCTTTAAGCGGGAAGGTACACCATGTTTAGATTTTCCTCTCTCTCTCTCTCTATTGAAACTCATCAGAAAGATTAAAACTGACTCTCTTCAATATTTTAGACACTATTCAGTTATTGAATAAAGTTCATTTGTTAATAGTACATTGACTTTAGTCGTTGGTAGTTAATAAGTAGCTATCATTGAGAAATCAATAAGAAGCAAAGAATACTAAATGATTGTTTTGTGCCAGATGATTACTCTTCAGCAGTGTATGCCCACCAGCGCATTTATATTCACATTATCGTATTGAAATCCCTTAGTCTATGGTTCCCAAGTTGTGTTGATTCAGCATTAGAAAATCTGAAGCTGCTGCAGGCTCGATGCTGCTGCTGCTGCTGAGCATTCCTAAACCGGAAACGAAGGAAACTTCTACTAATCTCTCATTGTTAGTGGTTTAGGTTAGTTAGCATTTGCTGTTGAACAGTTACGTTGAACCAAAATGCTTGTTTTTTGTGGATATGTAGGCTCCTAGTATAGCAGCTTCGACGATGTCTGAGGAACAGTTGGAAGTTATTTCGGTAGATATTGACTAGCAGTGGAATTTAGGGTTAGTAATTCGTCCTGTATGGGACCAGCCAACGGGATGTACTAAAAAATCAGTAACCAAAGGGAAATGCAAATAAATCCAACAACGAATGATAACTGATCCCCATTGAACAAAAGGGGGCTGTCGTCGCCCAGAGGATAGTGTTTTGGAGTTTGAAATGAGGGTTACAAAGTTCAAGACTTAGACATTGGTTAATGCAGGTAAATCCGGATGACGAGTTCCAAATGAGATGAAAGGAGCCTGATGGATTTCACTGCTAATCACCATAAGCTAAGCTACTCAGTCATGATAAAAACTATTCTTGGACTAATCAATTCTCAACATACTTTTCATTTATTCAACCTAACTTTTAATAATGTTTTCAAATAATAAATTCTCTTCCATTGTTCACATTTAAACAAAAGTACTTTTAATGACAATATTCTTTACTGTCATGTAGGCATTAGAAATGAGACCACCTTTTTGCATAGCATTTAATCGATTAAGTGCAACGATTGTATGC